TGAAATCCTCTTCCATATAATTCCAACATTTTCCTTGCATTCGAAACTTCATCAGTCTTGTGCAGTTTCGAGAAAAAGGCTGACTTATCCTGGGTATTCAGGCCGTTCCAACTCTAAGACAATCTGAGAGTGTGCTTGAAATACTTTTAAGGAAAGTGATTTCGTTCACGATTCAGTCTGGATCCATTCGACATAGAAGGATTATCTAACACCTACTTGTGTAAGATAAAAAATATATAAAATTATAACGTCCAACCATGAACAATTCAGCAGCCTTGAACAATAAACATTGAATTCAATTTTTTAGGTTGGAATTGTCACATTAACCGCAAGATATGTTAAACGTTAGCATATTGAAATGTGTACAAAAATATTAATAAATAGTTTGGTTTCAAAGTGTGTTAGTGTCTGAGGTATTTTTAGTGGGGAGAAAAACGAGAATAAAGAAATAAGAATTGATATAATTGAATTAATAAAACTGAATTGTAAAGTGTCTATTTATATACACCTAAGTGACTTGACTATTAAGTAAAATAACAAACTAAATAACAAACTCTAAATCCTAATTAGCTTTGGCATTGAGCCACACAACTCAACTTAGATTATATATAGTATTTCAACATACTCCTTTATAATCCAAATTGTCGAAACACACTAATCATTGTCGGTCTGAGCTATTCCCAATTTCTTTTTCAACGTTAGAAACCCGTCGATCTTCAATCATTTGGTAAAAATGTCGGTCAATTGTTCTTCACTTAAGCAATCTGTTACTTCAAGTTCACCTTTATTCACATTTTCCCTTAAGAAGTGAAATCTAGATTCGATGTGCTTAATTCTTCCATGCAAACCTGGATTCTTCGCCAGGTTTACGGCTTACTTGTTATCGATCTGCAGTACCACAGGTTTCTTCACTTTGACCTCGATCTCTTCCAGCACAGATCTGATTCAAATTGCTTGAAACACAACATAGAATCCTGATATATATTCCGCCTCACATGATGACAATGCCACCACAAATTGCTTTCTTGATCACCATGAGATCGGGACACCAAATACTTGAAAGAAATATCCAGTAGTGCTGCTTCGATCTTCTTTATCTCCACACCAATCAGCATCTGAATAATAAGTAACCATAGCTTCTTTGCTTTCAAAGTCTCGTCGAAAGAAAGTTTTATAATTTGTCGATCCTTTTAAATATCTCAGGATTCTTCTTGTAGCCTTCATGTGTGACACTAGGGATGGCAAACAAACCCGGGCCCGCCCACACCCGCCCGGGCCCGCCCCGAAATTAACGGGTGAAATCCGATTTAATTGGGTGCGGGTGCGGGTGCGGGTGAAACCCGGTTCTTAACTACGGGTGCGGGTGCGGGTGCGGGTAGACACTAAGACCCGCCCGCACCCGCCCCCGCCCCACCCCAAATAATATATTTTATTTTGATTTCTTTATTTTATTTATTTTAATATTTATTTATTAATTATACTTTTAATTAAGTTATTAATATTCTTATTGCAATTAAAATAATAAAATTAATCAAGTTAATATTCATTTATTAATTAAAATTTTAATTAAATAATTAATTAATTTATTAAAATAATCAATTTTTTAATTAAATTACTAATTTTTATGATAATTAAAAAAATAATAATTTTTTGCGGGTGGGGGCGGGTCTGGGTGGTAAATTTTCACCCCCGATTGGATTTGGGGGCGGGGGCGGGTCTGTTACACGGAAGCGGGTGCGGGTGCGGGTATAGTTAAACCCGCCCCCGACCCGCCCCGTTGCCATCCCTATGTGACACCATTGGTTCACTCATATATCTGCTCACTAATCCGACTAAGAAACATATATCAGGTCAACTGTTGCACACATATCTCAGAGATGCGACAATTTGTTTGAACAAAATCGCATCGACTTTATCTTCCTCTCCATGCTTCTCCAACTTCAAATTTGGTTTGATAGGCGAAGATGTATGAGTCGAATCATCCATTCTGAATCTCTTGAGTATCTCTTTAACATACTTTCTTTGATGTAGCATCATACCTTGCTTTGACATTTGACTTCCATGCCTAGGAAATACGACAACTTTCCCATATCCAACATTTCAAATTCCTTTTTCATCAGATCATTGAACATTAACAAGTTCTCCAAACTACTTCCAGTTACTAACAAGTCATCGACATATAAGCAGATGATTATTATATCTTGTGCCACAACCTGAACATAAACACCATACTCAGATTTGTCATTGAAGAATTCCAACTTGAACAAGTACAAGTCGAAAGAGAGAAGACAATAAAAGGAATAAAACATCGTCGAAAATGCAATGAAAATTAATTATTTTATATATATCACAACAGTGTTATTTGGACAAAAATAAATATGAAAAATCAAAACTATTTAAAAAAATAAATATGAGGAACCAAAACTGTTTAAAAAATAAATAGAAAAATTGTTTTCATAAATTGACCAAAACTGGATTCTTCGCCATATTTATGGCTGACTTGTTGTAGATCATGATATATATTCAACCTCACATGATGACAGTGCCACCATAAGTTGCTTTCTCGATCACAATGAGATTGGGGCACCAAATACTTGAAAGAAATATCCATAGTGCTTCTTTGATCTTCCTTATCTCCACACCAATCAGCATCTGAATAATAAGTAACCATAACTTCTTTACTTTCAGAGTCTCGTCGAAATAAAATTTCATAGTTTTTTTGATCCTTTTTAGTATCTTAGAATTCTTCTTGCAGCCTTCATGTGTGACACCCTTTATTGAATTTTTTTCCATCCTGCCACAGTTTTAGAAGATAAATCTCCAAATGCCATACTTTTACACATAAATTCCAAAGTGCCATGTTTTCAAAAAAAATCAATTTTTGGAACAATGTAACCCCCCATTCATTGGGCAACACTGCTTTTCTGAAATAGGGAACCGCCCATCCATTGGGCGGCAGTGTGTATGATGAATTTTTTTATTTAATTAAATTTATTACATTTATTATGGTATTTGGGGATTCATTTTTTCGTTTTAAATTTTGTTTGTTACATTTATTATGTTTATAACATTGTTTTTAAATAGATAATATTTATTACATTTATTATGTTTATAAATAGATAATATTTAGATATTTATTATATTTTTTATATTATTTTTTAAACATAATAAATGTAATAAATATTATCTATTTAAAAACAAAATTATAAACATAATAAATATAACAAACAAAATTTAAAACGAAAAAATGAATCCCCAACTACCATAATAAATGTAATAAATTTAATTAAATGAAAAAATTCATCATACACTGAATGGGCGGTTACATTATTCCAAAAATTGATTTTTTTTTGAAAACATGACACTTTGGAATTTATGTGTAAAAGAATGACATTTGGGGATTTATCTTCTAAATCGACTATTTGACATATATCTCATAGATGCGACAATTTATTTAAAACGTTGAAAATATAATGAAAATTAATCTTTCTTATATGTCACAAAATAGTACCCAATAATGTTTTTTTAAATAAAAATAAATATAAAAAATCAAAACTATTTAAAAAATAAATAGGACCAAAATAAATAATCATAACTGTAATTTAGGCTTTATTAAAATAGTTGTTAAAAGAACCTAAAAATATATATTTAATGTCTGTAAACTTATTACTACATTTTTACAGGAAAAAAACAAACAAACTTATCTTTCAGTTTGGCTAGTTTGAAAGCAGTGGCGTTATGGTTATTGGTTCACAATATGACTCAACATTCAGTGGGCGTGACAGTTGAGTAAGATTAGATCCCAAGACGCTGACAACACGCAACGCAAACGCCGATAACCGGTTACCTCCACTTTCACAACCCATCACTCTACCTGCTATACCCGGTAACTTTATGAATCATTCATCCTCATCATCCATATTATAAAAACTTAGTTTCAATTCATCCTCATCGACATCGCTTCTAACTTCCACCCACCCTCTACGCACATCGTCTTCGGTTAGTTTTTTTTTCCTTCTTTCTTTTTATCACTACGCGTTAATAATAATTGTTATTATATCTGTTCAGAAAAATTCATGGATGATTCTGGAACATGCTTTTTTTAATCGCTGATCGCGCAACTCTTAAGGGTGTTGTTGATTTTATTTTTTAATTTGTTTCTTTGTGTTAGGTTATTAGATCTTTTGATTTCAACAGGATAATTCTGTTTTTTTTTTTTTTGCGTGTGTAACTTAACTGTGTTTGTGTTGTTATTTGAGTACAATTGATTGATGAGGCAAGGTTTACGATCAGGTTTTGGAGTGATTAGAGAAAATTTATGTTGTAGAATTTGTGATGGGAAAGGAACTTGGTTTATTTGAATATGGAGTAGAAGAATGAGGGCATGATTTCATTTGTGGGCGGAAGTTGATCTATTTGGCCGATTACACTTAGTGGGATAAGACTTGGTTGTGATTGTTGTTGTACGAGGGGATGAAAATTTAGAGTTAATTAAAAATGGATGTAACTTTTTGCAGGAAATTTGGGTGGATTTTAGTTTTTTTTCTCCAAGTGGCAAGATTTAACCTTGTAATTTCATCCAAATTTTTTGTAAAATGGTAATTAGGAGTAATAATTTATCTCTTAAAAGATCTTTTTATTTTTGTTTTTGAGATAAGAATTAAGCAATGCTACCTATGATCATCATCACGCCTATTTACACGACGAGGAATAACTTTCATTTTTTGGTATTCATTGTTATCAATCCTTTTCCGCACATGCAATCCAATGATCTTGAACATACGTGTGAGCTGTGACATTTTTGAGTTTTTTTCTTCCTTACCAAAAGTAGCATATTTTTTTCTTAGATGTTTCCATGTTATGAAATCATACACCTTTTTTGGTCAAGCCAACCCAACTTCCCTACCCTCTACCATTCATGTTTTCGGTATTTATTAATGTTTGAGTTTATTTTAATTAAAAATGGAACTTTGATATCAATTTTTTGATGAAGACAAAAGATGGCAGGAACTGAAGATGAAGTGGAAAAAGCTTCTCGCAGTAATGATTGGGAGGTCGTATCTCTCACGGCGTCAACTTATGCAGCTGCACCTGGTCCGGGTAAAGTTGAGTTGAAGGATGATGATAAGGAAGATGCATATGCACCAAATGAAGCTGAGACATCAAACGCTTTGTTCATGTCTGGTCACTTTGCGTTTCCACCCAGTCGGCATGAAAATTTGCCATTGGAACCTGATTATGGTGAGATTCAAAATGAATCTGGAGATAAAGATAATGCCTCTGAAGAGACTCGTGAAGAAGCTACCAGGCCTAGTGGAAAGGAGGAAGAAAACTTGACATTAGCAGGGTTGGATGTGTCAAAGGAGTTTGAGGGTATGCAATATTATGACGAGAAAATCAACGAATTATCTGTTCATGGAAAACAGTTTGAGGAAAGTACAGCTCTACCGGATTTTGGTTTGACTGTAAAAGAGGAAAGTATGTATCACCCTGCAAAATACACTTCTTTCCCCAGTGAAACAGATATTGGAACTTTGACAGCATATGGTGAAAGCATAGTTGAGTCTGAAACAACCGAATCAGCAGAGCAAGGGACAAATGTATCTCCTGATGATTTATCACTGTCAAAGAACTCTTCCCATGATGACAAACAAAACCCTTCAGATCTTCCTTGCAGAGCTTGGTGGAAGCGAAGAGCTGCCTCCATATATGCTCATGCAAAGGAGGCAAATACATTTTGGTCTGTTTTCATTGCGGCCACAGTGATGGGTCTGGTGATGCTTGGTCAACGCTGGCAACGCGAAAAAGCTTTACAGCTTAAATGGCAAATCAATATCACTGATGAGGTATATTTATCATTCTTCTAAGAAATTTTTATTTATTCTTTGGTAAAAATGAAGCATAGAACACTGTTTATATATGTTGCACATAAAGATGCTTGGTGTTGTCCATTATTTTGGATTCTTTTGTTGATTGTTCATTCCAATTGTGTAAGATCTACTGATTTTTAACTAACATATCATGATATAACACTAATTAGTCACGATACTGTGTTTCCAATGTGTAATAGTTTTTGCATCAGAGTCAACTTGACTTACATTTTAAAATGAAGAATGTTATGAGTAACTTTCGAGCAATGTTATATTTATTTTCTTTATTTGAAACCTGACAAGTAATATGATTTTGAAGAACTTAACTTTTGAATCTCCTCATCCTATACAGAAACATAAATCTCTCAATTTTGTGTAACTTCTGCTTAGACTGCCATGTTCGATTCCTTTTTTGTGGTTAAAAAATCTTAACATTCCAATAGTAACCGTTTCTGCAGGCAAAGAGCAGGGCGCTTTCTCCCATGATTCGACTCAAAGATGTGATTGTTGGTGGCGGCCACCGCCGTGGCTCCTTTATCAGGGAAAGCTCCCTCGCCGAAAGTTAAGGTAAAGGTGACTCCATGAATATAGCTCCTAGTCGTAAAAGTCTAAAAGCTAAGATGATGACGATAAATTGAATGTCAGAGATGTTGAGAATGAGATATGTTACGCTTGTGAAGTTTAAGTTTAAGTTTGATACTAGGATTGCTTGACCTTTACCAAATTATGAATGCTGTTATTCAAACATTTTATATTGTGAATTTTCCTGATCTTTTCTTTGATTTGCATTGTATAGCTCCCGATGTATTCAACTTATTAAGTTATGTATTCTTGCTATGTGGAATTGGCAGAGTATACAGCAAATATCATATGTAAATTAAACTAATGAAGTGATTGTTTTTATGGCGGGTGTTTGGTTTTCCTCGTACTCTAACTACACATGTCAATAATTGTTGACTCAAATGGCCGAGCTGCATGGCATTTATGAGTTTAGATTTAGCCTTTAATATTGATGAGTAGCTAGTGGGGATTAGGATCTCTAATGTTGAAAAAAAAAACATCGGTATATAATGTGGAAGATGATATACAAAGAGGGGAGAGTTTAGGAATATGAGAAAAATAGTGAAAGATTGATTAGGGGTTGAGGTTTGAAAATTAAGAAAACATGAGGAAAAAAACTGTGAGTATCCATTTCCAGCCAGTAGTGGTATTCTTCCTTTTGCAGGAGATTCAGTCACCAGATGTAGGACCTTTTACTAGAGATTCTGTTTCAAAAAATTTCTGGTTGGTTCAACCTACAATAGGTCCTACAAAAGTACTTATTTATTGTTATTTTGTTTGTCAAAATTTTGTGATTGGTTGTTTATACTAATGAGATATGTGAGTTGCTCTGGTCCTACATCACTATCACTATGGCCAATTCCGTTTTAACTTAAAAAAATAGATTTTTTTAAAACATTTTTTTAATTTGTTTTTTATAAATTGAAAAATTAATTTTAGCATTTTATACACTGTGGAAATCACATTTTTTTAAAATGTATTTTAAAAATTATTTTAATAAAAAATATTTAAAATAGCATTAAATTTGATTGATTTTTTAAAATTTTTTAACATCTAAAAAATTATAAAAAAAATAAAAAGTTATCTAAAATAATATTTTGAAAATAATTATTTAAATATATTAGACTATAATAATTATTTTAAAAATAGTTGAAACAAACTAGTCTTAAATATAGTGGTAATGTTTTTTCTTTTTTAAAATTAAATATACAAGATAGTTCTATCCTAATTATTAGTATTAATGACATCACGTATTGATACTTATTATAATTTATATGTTTAGGAATTATTAATGACATCACGTATTGATACTTATTATAATTTATATGTTTAGGAATTATTAATGACATCACGTATTGATACTCATTATAATTAATTTGTTATATATATAAGAATTATTAATGACATCACGTGTAGATACTTATTATAATTAGTTTGTTATATATTTAGGAATTATGACGAGTTACGTTTTTGTTTAGATTTATCTCTTGTACTTAAATAGTAGTAATTTTGAAAAAAAAAATCATATTTAATCACATCACGTTATTGATATTTATTATAATTTATTTGTTATAAATTTAGGAATTATGATGAGATTAAATTATTATTTAGATTATATCTCTTGTATTTAAATACTTTTCAACAACAAAAATTCATATTTAATATAATATTTAGAATAATATTTACAAAATCGGTTTGTAAGGTGAGGGGTGTTATTCTATATGGATTTTTTTAAGGCTCTATCTCTAACTAATATAAGACTTGGAATTTTCACAATACACCTGCCTCATGCCTAACTCTCTTTTGGACTTATGTGTGGATTTGAACTGTGAGCGGCCCATGATTCGACCGATAGACTCTGATAGTTGTTAGAGTTTGACCTAATTCATTTTTACAAAACCAATTTATAGGGTGATTACCCTTACTTATAAAGACATGTTCATGTTATATATTGTTCAATGTGTGATGGGTGTATTGAAAAGATTTCAAATTTTACATTGGTGTATTGAAAAGATTTCAAATTTTACATTGATTTTGTAAGGATGAGTTATCTCAAACTCTAATATAGCATAAAAACCATATCCTATCATCTTTCCGCTATTGAGTCACCGACTATAAAGCCAGGACTTGGACACGGATACAGGACACGACATACACACGAGGACTCTATTAATATAAAAAACATAGGACACAGACAAAACTATATATATATTTTATATATTAATATAATAATATAATTTATGAGCACAATTTATAAAGAGTTTAAAATGAGAAACAAAATTTATGTTTATTTAAACTTAGTACTTTCAATCAACGAAAAAAAGACATAAATCCACCAAAACAAAATGATACAAATCATATCATAGTTACTATACATTGAGAAAATCAGCCTCTAAACCTTTCTCATCCAAAGAGAAGTCAACAACTTCAAGAAATTTCATGTCACCTAATGATCCAAAATCATCTCCAATGACATCCAACATTTTTAGTTTCCTCTTGATGATATTAGAGGGTGTTCCTTGATAGAAGTGGAAAGTTACTATACATATATACTAAAGCTTCCGCTCGGTAGGCGCTATCTTGCTTCTCTTTAAAGAATGCATAAATGAATATGTGCTCTAATCGTGTTGTTTTTACAGTGGAGAAGTGAAATATGAAAGATAAAAATTCCTTTTCGTTTAATTTTTTTTGAAATTTTTAGTTTAATTCTGAAATTTTGAGTTGGACTGTGTCCTTTATTTGAAATAAGGTGTCGTATTCGTGTCCGTTGTGATTCAAATTTATTTTTGTGTTGGACACTTCAAAAACGTGTCAGATACGTGTCGTACGTGTGTCGTATGCGTATCCATGTCGAACACGTGTCTGACACAGCGACACACCGTGTGAATGGCGTGTCGAAGCTTCATAGGTCACCGACCATTTATTTTTACGCTTCAAATGTCTATTCCTCCTAAATGTGAGAGTGTATTAAGAGTCTCAAATCAAATAATATATGATATGAACATGTCTTTATAAGTGAAGATAATCTTCACCCTACAAATTAGTTTTGTAAGTACGAGTTAGATTAAACTTTAATATATTTTTTTCACTTTTTTCTCTCTTTTACTGTTTTTTTTAATTCTTTTATTATAATTTTTTTCTTTTTTCTTTAAGTTAACGTTTTCTTCTCTCTTTTTTTTTTATATTTTTTCTTAGTTTTCATCAGCATTCCTTCTTTCTTTCAATTTATTATTTTTTTCATTATCTTTTTTCTTTCACTATTTTTATAACCCTCAGAATTTTCATCCAAGACATAACTTATAAATTATTAAAAATATTTATTTAAACAAAAATAAAAATTTTTGAAATTAACCAAACTCGATGACAATTCAAATTCATAAACGAAAAATTACTGACATTTTTAATTCATTCAAAGAAAAGTAAATAAATAACTTAAAATGTAATGCGATCAATTTATAAACTACTAAAATATTTTCATTTTGAAAACTCATTCTTCCCCACAATCGTGTGACAAACAACACTATAACAAAAAACACTTTTTACCTCGATCAAAAAATAGGTCTTACATCGATTTCACAGAGAGGTAACAAATAGCGTCATGAAATGACACATTTACCTCTTGGTTTTTAAAAAAAACGATAGGTATGTGTAAAGGTCATGAGTTCGATCCTCACAGAGACCTTTTTGGAATTATGAAATGGCTAAAACACATGTCCCATTGGTTTTGTCATTTCATCTACAAATATACCATATTTTCATCTCGATTATCTCATAAAACTGATGGGTAAAACAATTTTGAGTTTATTAAATATAATGTGGATTGCTTATTTCACTAAATCCTATACTGAACATATACTCAAAATTGATTAGGAAAATAATCATATGAACAATTGTGTTATATTTGAAGAACAACTTACATTAATTAGTGATTTTGAAACATCTTGCAACTCATCATTCATATCACATTGTTTTGTGGTTAAAACCTCTTCAATGTTTCAAGTTCTTTATTCAACACTTTCTTTTCTACTAATTCATTTTTGAAAGTGATCTGACCTGATCAGAAGAGAATCAATGGACCGCCACGCGTCTTTGATCTACTGCCTGTTCACCGGTGGTAAGAAGGAGGAAGGGGTGTACCTGCAAGACACTTCGATGCCAAAGTAAGAAACTGAACAGAGTGAGAGCAAATACAGAAAGTAGGTTGAGAATTGAATACCTGACCCTCTTGTGAAATAGGGTATTTATAGAGAGACCCCAACGCAGGGCCAACGGTCATTTGAGTGGGCTGGATGGCCAGGCCCAACCTAAGTGACTGCTAGGGCTTACGTGGCGTAGAGAAAATCAGCACGTGGTATTCGCCCTAGTTCAACTGCTCCGTGAACTTTGGAGAGTGGGTTGACCTGCTCTTTCGGAGGTGGGTAGTTGGTTGATGACGTGTCCCCGCAGAGGGGAGCACGTGGAGGACGTGTGAGGTCGACACACGTCTTTCTACCCGACGGGGGAAGCGTCCTGTCCGACGGGGCAATGCCTGGTCGAAGGGAGCCTCGTGCTCGACACAGATGAGGAGGACTCATTTGGGTCTTTCACCAAGTATAAGGGGGCTGGGCCTTCTCGGCAAGCGGGGGCCCGGGCCAAAACAGAAAGCATAAAATCTGATGCCTTCAAAATAAACAAATATGGAAGAAAGTTGAACGAAAACTAGAAGTATGAGAGGGATTTTAAGGATAAAACAACATGAGATGAATGATGAGTTGCAAAATGTTAGAAAATCATTAATTAATGTAATATAAGTTTCAGATACAACATAACTTTCATTTAATTATTTTCAAAATCAATTTACTAGGCTATATGTTCAAAGAAGGGTTAATGAAAGAAACAATTAACATTAGATATAATAAACTCAACTCGACGAAACAAGATGAGAGTTGTACAAAGAATCACAAAAAACATAATCTCAATATCAATATTAATCTCAAACTCAAACACATTAACAACAACTAAAATA